CGAATAATTTCCGAGACGATTATCAGAAGCCTAAACCTTATAACTTGAAGCTAATAACTCAGGATAATTTAATAAACCAAATTTCATCTTTTCCTTTAAGAGTGTATCGATGCACTATGGGTGCATCGATACACAAAATAGCTTCGAAATATCCATGCATCGATGCACCTACCCAGAAATCACTGTTCATTGCACGAAAATTCACTCTTTCAATTTCAATTCTTCAAGTTTCATTCCCTTTCATATTCTTAACTCAAATATACATGCTTAAACTCATTTATATCTATTTATTTCATCTTAAACCTCAAAATTATATTCTCTATATAGAAATCAATAATCATACCAAATTTTCCATGTTATCCAAACTTAATTCTAACACTTCTAACTTCTTATTTTCATAGATGACAAGTCAAATTCATCATCCAAATTTATTTAAACCTTCTTATTCAAAATTCCACCTAAAAACTCATTTTCTTTAATCTTTCGTAACTTCTTCATCTTTTGATTTTAAGATAACTTAAGCTTTTCTTAAGCTTAGTTATCATCTAATGATCAAAACCCACTCTTAAAATTAACAAATAATCAACAAAATATAAAACTCACATTTGCTATAGCTTGAGCACGTTGGAGAAGAGAAGAGGATGAGTTTGGAAACTTATCTCTTCACACATGCATCACATGGGTATTATAATACCCACTAAATTTTATTTAATTATTTTTCTTGTTCAATGACCTATTTGCCCTTTGACTCTTTAAATAATTACTAACAACCCTTCAGGAAATACTTTCAAATAAATCATTGAACTTTTCAACTTTTCCATTTTAACCACCAAATTCTGAAATTTTACAATTTGATCACTAACCCGTAGTTTGGGATGTTACATAGAAGGAGAACAAGAGATTAATGAAAGAAAAGAATAGAGAAAAGAACGAAGAAAAAGAGTGCTTTAGATGTTAGATCACTTGTCATACCCCAATTGGTGGGGTTAGTTTTTTTAAGTTGAATATGGGGTTTAAAAGATTCACGTGAATTCTCCATTTTTTTGTCTGATGTGAACTCTATTATTGTATTCAATTATTATTTTTCATTGTGAACTTTATTTCCACCGATGCTTGGCCTGTAATTCAAAATATTATCTTCAAAATTTTCTAATTCTGAAGGCTAAGTATTTGGATAAGGTTGGCTTTAAAACCAAACCTTGACCTCGTCACATCTTACTCCATTCTTGCATCCACGTCTACGATACCGATCGAAACTAATGGCTTTGATTCAGTCTCGATTTCCTTCCCTTTTGATTTCCTCACCCCATCGCGTCATCGCTCGGTTTTGTTTACCTCTGAGTTGATTCACCCGACTCCAACAAGTCGCTCATCATGTTTAACCCTTGACTCGTCAATACAGAGTTCTCCCCTAGCTCGGTTCTGCTTGGTCACACCATGGCTCGGTGCTAGTTGACTCAAGGAACCGAATCATGGTCTTAACAGAACTTGCTGCTCTTTACTTCTCTTTTTCTCAGAAAACCCATCAATGGTTTAAATTTACTTCGAATTTGCCTTCAAAACCTCGAAGCCCCATCGTGATTTTAAACTCCATTTTCGCCCTATGCGACGTGGGATCGCCTTGGAGATGTAAGTGAAAATTATTCTCTTGTGCTGTCAAAAATTTGTTAATAAGAGAAGGAAATAAGAACAATATGAATGGAAAAGAAGATAAAAGAATGATAGGCGCACATGGTTTTGGAATTGTTAATAAAGTGAAGAAAATGCTCAGACAAAGGAAAACGGGGTTAGGATTCTAACATGAAAAATCACGTGGGTGGTGTCTAGGAGAATAAAGTGGAAAAACTCGTGTCATGAGTCCTCCGAGTTTTGTAAGAACTTAGCCTTGTCTCCTAGTTTTCATTAGTTTTTGTTTATGGCCCAATAATGAAAATTATTTCGGTTCAGTCTCTAATTTTAGTGATTAATTATTAAAGTAGCCCCACATGTATTTTATTATACAAATTGGGTTTCCAAATAATTAATTAGATCCTAACAAGTCATTTTTATGGCGAGAAAAATTACTGAAGTCGTATTTGTACGATAGATTGTTCGTGTTCGTTAGAAAAAGATTGGAAGCTAGAAATCAAGTTGGTGAGCTGGAATTCAAGAATAATATTTTAGGTTTTTCGACGTCCTGAATCCGAATCCGAAGTTCGTTTCGCCAAATTCGAACCCGGTAAGTTGGTTTTCACTACTTAATCACTCGATTCGATCCGTTTATCGCAATTAAACTCCGTTTTTATGTAATTTCTGTTGATATGGATCCGAGGAAATATTGGAAGTTGAATTAAGGATCAAAGGCGTTTGAATGGAATTTAAATGGTCGATCGATATGACATGGAAATCGAGGTAATACTTTACTATCTCTTTATGGTTTATGGAATATGTTGATATTGGTAAATGCATGAATAAGATAATGTTTGGTCACTTTTGTGGAGTTAATTAATGAAGTTCTACACTCGATACGAATGCAGTAGAAAGTAAGTAACTGATATTGCTCAGATGACTATTATAAGAAATTGGAGGACAATTGGAATTAAATTACAAGTTTTGGAATTAAGTGATAAAGGAATCAGCCATGGATATGTAGATTATAATTTATCTCATTAAAGGTACTTAGATGATAAATTATGAGAATATTTCGATTAGGTAAAATTATGAAATTACCATTATGTTGCAAAATGACAAGAATTGTTCATGGAAGTGGATTAATAAATCTGAAAAGACATATTGATATGATAAAACTATTGATGTGCATAAGAAATGTTAGTTTTACGTGAAAATTATGGATAATCGGTTTTTAACCACAAGAGGGTTTATGCAAGATACTAGAAGTTTGTTAAGGAATCATTTCAAGATTCGAGAAAAAGTAATTAACCATAGGATCTCTAAATTATAAGTATGCTCGTTAAGAGTTAATACTGAAATTACTTGGTTAAAAAATTATAAAAATGCCCTTGAGAGGTAAAAATAGTCCGAGTTGACCATGAATGAGAAAGTACTTTGAGGATTCGTACTTAACTTAATAAATTACAGATTTAATTGCTAAGATCCTGTCTTTGTATAGAAAATTTATGATAACCCGTTGGTAACTTCTGAGAAGACAATTGACCTGAAAATCTCCGAGTTAAGAAAAAATTATCGAGGGTGCTCTTTTGTTAGAATTGTTTGAAAGGTCTGGAAAAGATGATACATTTGAATTAAATAATAAGACCGAATGGAAGGAAAAGATTGAAATAACCTAGATATATAAAATGACCAAAATACCCCTGTAATAAAAATGACTCAAGAATATCACCAAGCTCAGGAATGATTGGATATCCTCGAGCTCTGAAAAGAATGGAATGAAACTGAGCACCAGAATGACCAAAATACCTTATGACCTAAACTTAGTAGAAGTGTTGGATTAATTAAGGAATCCAAATAAACATGGATGTGGTACTGCCCTTAAAAGTTATGGAACACAACTTAAGTGAGTTGATCAACCTCAATGATATGTCAGTACTTGAACATCATAGATATTCCTTGAATGCTTGTTCGTATACTCAAGTTTGGCTCGATGATAATTTTGAAAGTATTCAGCTCAGCTCAACTCTAGATCACATTCGGCAATAATAAATTGATATTCATTAGACAAATCAACTACGACTACCAAATTGAATTGAACAGAAGTACAATATGTATATGAAATTCAGAAACATCTGAATTACTATGAAAAACCCTGAAATAACTGTAAATGACTTGACTACTAAATGAACTAAGTAACCTCAAGGATTGAGGTTTAAGTAAGAGATTGGAATAAGTTTGGAAACTCGGATGAACTTATGTGATGTATCATCCCTATGGATTATGAACCACAAATCAAGTACGTCAGCATTTCCTGGTATAATTGAAACATGGAAATAAAATAAACACCATTAGAATATTTGTTCGTCTCCTTAAGATCTATTCAGTGATGACTCAGAAGATGATCTATGGATAAGAATGTTTGGTATTAAAGAGTGAATACCCTGGAAGGTTAAGGAATTGACAAGTTGATAAGTATTGGTTCTGGAAGCTATTCATCTGGAGTTGTTCGATAATCAGATTAATCGTCATAGATTGTAAAGATTCTGAATACCCTTCAGATTTCGTAGAGCTTCTGAAAATTATCCGATTAAGATGATCCTGATAAATCATATTCTGAATAACTGATGATTCTGTCAGTTATTGAACTCTTCCAATAGTGATTCTAAATTCCAACATTCTATCGGTATACTGAAAATCCGTGTGTCTCTGCCTGTTAAGATTATCCTCTACCTCTGAATAATATCCATAAAACTCTGGTGTATTCCCTAATCATATAAATATTTTATCTGATTTCTGACTTGAATTCTGTTCTGATACATTACCTGAATTCTGTTCTGATTTCTGATCTGGATTCTGTTATGATATCTGATCTGAATTCTGTTTTGATTTCTGATATCTTCGTTTACCGACGAAGAAATGTTTTATCTGGGGGTTTATTGTTGGAGAAAGATTATCTGCAGGTTTCTCGGCTGTGTTCTCAGGGCCTCACTGGTTGTGCGGGGTGTATGGTTCCGGGGAACCTACACAAACAGATTGTGAAAGGATGGGGGTGTATATATATATATGTTTTAAAATAAAAATATGTATATTTTTATTGGTTTTATGGGAACACACAAGATAACCTATTCTGATCTCCTGAACCTAGATATCTGAAATATTTTCATCTGACCTGAATATTATTTGTTAGTACCTGAAATATCAATGGGACCTCATCTCAACCAAAGAAATCTGTAAATATATGAACCAATAAGGAAAATACGTTTATTTGTAAATGCACGTTCTTCAGCATCATCTGGTAGTTCTGTATTACTGAGCTTTCCAAAGCTCACTCCGTTACTCATCTTTTCAGGTTAAAAGAATTATATCAGTACAACTATCATCTTCAGTAAGGGAGTTTTTCCGGCGTTGCTTCCAGAGAATGGTACATGTGATTAGGGGGCATGTAATTGTATTTTAATTTATATACGAGTTTGAAAATCGGTTTTATTTCTGCATACTGATAAATCATTTTATAAGTTACATGTTTTAATAAAAGTTTTAAATTTTCTGCCATTTTTACAGTGGGTCGCTCCGGTGGCCCTAATGTGACACTCCAGATCAGATCGGGTTAACCGCATCGGTCTAGGAGAATAAAGTGGAAAAAATCGTGTCATGAGTCCTCCGAGTTTGGTAAGAACTTAGCCTTGTCTCATTGTTTTCATTAGTTTTTGTTTATGGCCCAATAGTGTAAATTATTTTGGTTCAGCCTCTAATTTTAGTGATTAATTATTAAAGTAGCCCCACAAGTATTTTATTATACAAATTGGGTTTCCAAATTATTAATTAGATCTTAACAAGTTATTTTTATGGCGAGGAAAATTACTGAAGTCGTATTTGTACGATAGATTGTTCGTGTTCGTTAGAAAAAGATTGGAAGCTAGAAATCAAGTTGGTGATCTAAAATTCAAGAATAATATTTTAGGTTTTTCGATGTTCTGAATCCGAATCCGAAGTCCGTTTCGCCAAATTCGAACCCGGTAAGTTGGTTTTCACTAATTAATCACACGATTCGATCCGTTTATCGCAATTAAGCTCCGTTTTATGTAATTTCTATTGATATGGATCTGAGGAAATATTGGAAGTTGAATTAAGGATCAAAGGCGTTCGAATGGAATTTAAATGGTCGATCGATATGACATAGAAATCGAGGTAATACTTTACTACCTCTTTATACTTTATGGAATATGTTGATATTGGTAAATACAAGAATAAGATAATGTTTGGTCACTTTTGTGGAGTTAATTAATGAAGTTCTACACTCGATACGAATGCAGTAGAAAGTAAGTAACTGAATATGGCTCATATGACTATTATAAGAAATTGGAGGATAATTGGAATTAAATTACAAGTTCTGGAATTAAGTGATACAGGAATCAACCATGGATATGTAGATTATAATTTATCTCATTAAAGATACTTAGATGATATATTATGAGAATATTTCGATTAGGTAAAATTACAAAATTACCCTTATATTGCAAAATGACAAGAATTGTTCCTGGAAGTGGATTAATAAATCTGAAAAGACATATTGATCTGATAAAACTATTGATGTGCATAAGAAAATGTTAGTTTTACTTGGAAATTATGGATAACTGGTTTTTAATCCCAATAGGGTTTATGCAAGATACTAGAAGTATGTTAAGGAATCATTTCAAGATTCGAGAAAAAGCAATTAACCATAGGATCTCTAAATTATAAGTATGCTCGTTAAAGTTAATACTGAAATTACATGGTTAAGAAATTATGAAAATGCCCTTGAGAGGTAAAAATAGTCCGAGTTGACCATGAATGAGAAAGTACTTTGAGGATTCGTACTTAACTTAATAAATTACAGATTTAATTGTTAAGATCATGTCTTTGTACAGAAAATTTTTGATAACATGTTGGTAACTTCTGAGAAGACAATTGACCTGAAAATCTCTGAGTTAAGAATAAATTATCGAGGGTGCTCTTTTGTCAGAATTGTTTGAAAGGTCTGGAAAAGATGTTTGAATTAAATAATAAGATTGGATGGAAGGAAAAGATTGAAATAACCTAGATATGTAAAATGACCAAAATACCCCTGTAATGAAAATGACTCAAGAATATCACCAAGCTCAGGAATGATTGGATATCCTCGAGTTCTGAAAAGAATGGAATGAAACTGAGCACCAGAATGACCAAAATACCTTATAACCTAAACTTAGTAGAAGTGTTGGATTAATTAAGGAATCCAAATAAATATGGATGTGGTACTGCCCTTAAAAGTTATGGAACACAACTTAAGTGAGTTGATCAACCTCAATGATATGTCAGTACTTGAACATCATAGATATTACTTGAATGCTTGTTCGTATACTCAAGTTTGGCTCGATGATAATTTTGAAAGTATTCAGCTCAGCTCAACTCTAGATCGCATTCGGTAATAAGAAATTGATATTCGTTAGAAAAATCAACTACGACTACCAAATTGAATTGAACGGAAGTACAATATGTATCTAAAATTTAGAAACATCTGAATTACTATGAAAAACCCTAAAGTAACTGTAAATGACTTGACTACTAAATGAACTAAGTAACCTCAAGGACTGAGGTTTAAGTAAGAGATTGGAATAAGTTTGGAAACTCGGATAAACTTATGTGATGTATCATCCCTATGGATTATGAACCATAAATCAAGTACGTCAGCATTTCCTGGTATAGTTGAAACATGGAAATAAAATAAACACCATTAGAATATTTGTTCGTCCCCTTAAGATCTGTTCAGTGATGACTCAGAAGATGATTTATGGATAAGAATGTTTGGTATTAAAGAGTAAATACCCTGGAAGGTTAAGGAATTGACAAGTTGATAAGTATTGGTTTTGGAAGCTATTCATCTGGAGTTGTTTGATAATCGGATTAATCGTCATAGATTGTAAAGATTTTGAATACCCTTCAGATTTCGTAGAGCTTCTGAAAATTATCCGATTGAGATGATCCTGATAAATCATATTATTAATAACTAATGATTCCGTCAATTATTGAACTCTTCTAATAGTGATTCTAAATTCCAACATTCTATCGGTATACTGAAAATCCATGTGTCTATGCCTGTTAAGATTATCCTCTACCTCTGAATAATATCCATAAAACTCTAGTGTGTTCCCTAATCATATAAATATTTTATCTGATTTCCGACTTGAATTATGTTCTGATATATTACCTGAATTCTGATCTAGATTCTGTTCTGATATCTGATATGAATTCTATTTTGATTTTTGATATCTCCGTTTACCGACGGAGAAATGTTTTATCTGGGGGGTTTATTGTTGGAGGAAGATTATCCTCACTAGTTGTGTGGGGTGTATGGTTCCAGGGAACCTACACAAATAGATTGTAAAAGGATGGGGGTGTATATATATATGTTTTAAAATAAAAATATGTATATTTTTATTGGTTTTATGAAAACACACTAGATAACATATTCTGATCTCCTGAACCTAGATATCTGAAATATTTTCATCTGAACTGAATATTATTTGTTACTACCTGAAATATCAATGGGACCTCAGCTCAGCCAAAGAAATCTGTAAATATCTGAACCAATAAGGAAAAATACGTTTATTTGTATATGCACGTTCTTCAGCATCATCTGTAGTTCTGTATTACTGAGCTTTCCAAAGCTCACTCTGTTACTCATCTTTTCAGGTTAAAAGAATTGTATCAGTACAACTATCATCTTCAGTAAGGGAGTTCTTACGGCGTTGCTTCCAGAGAATGGTATATGTGATTAGGGGGCATGTAATTGTATTTTGATTTATATACGAGTTTGAAAATTTGTTTTATTTATGCATACTGATAAATCATTTTATAAGTTACATGTTTTAATAAAAGTTTAAATTTTCCGCCATTTTTACAGTGGGTCGCTCTGGTGGCCCTAATGTGACACTCCAAATCAGATTGGGTTAACCGTATCTGTCTGAGGGGGTTACATCACCCAAAATTAATGGAAATTAATCTTTGTTTAAAAAAATGTATAATTTCTCTCCTAGTTCTTCTCCTTTTGGCCCAAGATTAAAAATACCCTTTTAACATCTTTTGGGCCCAACACAAGCCTAAATTCACATTAACTTGGACCAAGGCTTTCTTACAAGCTAATGGAATTAAATCAAAGCCTTCACAGTTTTAGCTCGATCTCTTAATTCGGGATTTGAGGCGTCACAGTTTGAACCTTTCAAGCCAACCGCACGAATCAAGCTATCTCGGTAGTTAAAGGAATAATTGTTATTCTTTGGGATTTGGGGCGTTACAGTTTGAACGTTCATCATCATATGATTGAGAGTCTTTAGACCAAATACTACCACTTGTAAGCATTCTTGATTAATAATAAAAAAACCTTTCAAGCCAACCTAACGTCAATTTTCCTTGAAGCTGAATGTTTGAGCTTAGGCCTTTTATTTCTTAGAATTTACTCCATTTTTTGGTTTTTCTTCATCGATTGACATGTCTCATTTTAATTTTGTGCTCAGTAATTTACGATCCTTCCATCGAGCCCAAGTGTTATGGGAATAAGTAAATACATTATGGTGGAATGATGAGAGTGAACGGATAGATCATATATCTATCTTATGTTATTTAGTTGTTTATTATTCATTATTATCAATTCAAAAGAAATAAAAAAATCAGCAAGCTTACCCTATAGTTAAATTTAGATTTTTTATGATAAGTTGGCATTATTTTAAACATTATCATCACTAATAACAATTAAAATATTATAAAAAATTAATGGAAATTTATATTTTAATTAACTGTTCTTATTGAAGGTATTAACCTATGGAAAGTCTATAGAAAAAGTGGCCTATAATGGTTGCGTCTTGTAGCACGCATTAAATTAAAGTATAGAAAATCATAATATGATAGTTGTAACGATAATGGTAGGGTTCACAAATGAAAGCGACAGGTAGTCCATGATAAGGAGTTTAAATAAGGGTGAGGATAAATTACGTAAAAAATATTAATATATGTAAATTATTACATAAAAATTAACGTAATTACCAGATTATATAAAAATTATCAAATTATGTAAATTGTTATAATTATGTAGCAGTTTATGTAATCTTCGTAACAATTTACTTAATCTAATAATACTTTAATTAATTTATCTTAGTCTTATGTTAAGTTCCCTGTTTTAGAAAAATCCGAAAGCAACTCTTATCCAGTAATGAAAACAGATGTGGATAAAATATTCATAAAGATTTTGATTCCGATTGCTCATTTTTATTTTATTTTCTAAGAGAACTTAATTTATTTATTTTAGAATATATAATAAATAATATTAATGTAAGTATTTGATCGATTCAATTCAATTTAGGTCAAGTAAAACAGAGTGAAGTCAACTAGTCATATTTTATGACTCAAATTTAATTTAAAAAAATTTATAGTCGAGTTATCCAATTTTCTATATAAATTTAACTATAATTATATATAGTATTATGGTACGAATTGGTTTTAATTTTTTTGACTTTCTCTAATCATAATATATATATATATATCTTTATATTCCTTTTCTCATTATAATGTTATTTAATAAATCAAAAACAATATAAATTATAAACTATATTTATAATATTATGTTTAACAAAAAATATTTTGAGGATAAAGTATTGATGAATATATATAAAGGAGTCGAGAAATTGATGAGAAGAAAGAATTACAAACAATTGTAATCAAAAGATCAAATTGAGTAAACTGCAAAATTAAGAGATTAAATTAAAAAAAGATAGTACATTTTTAATTAAAAAATATGAATTGAAGTTATATAAGTATTCTATAGTGGTAGGGGAACATGTAATTCAAATTTAGGCAAAACGAACTTAAAATAGAAGATGAATCGAATAAATGAAGAGATCATATAAAGTTAATAAGTTAAAAAATATGATAATCATAAATCTATTTTTTTAATTTAAAACTTTATTTATGATAAAAAATCAATAGCATAACAATATAAATTTTAAATGACTAATACTTTCAAGTTAGTGGATTTGTCCAATGCATTCAAATTTAAGTATGAAAATAACATTATCTAAATGATTATAATCAATAATAACAATAAAATATTATGGAAAATCATTTATCAATTAAAGCAATTTGCTTGAGATAGGTCTATCCTCTAATAATACAATGATCTACAGTATTAGCATCTCATTGTAACGAAGGAAAATAAATTTTTTTTAAAAACTAAACATCCATCAATTAAAAAGAAAAAAAATCAACCTTGAAAGAAAAAAATACTAAAGTAAAATTAAAATATATACGACATAAAAAATAACAATTTTCTTTGTAATAAAATGGAGTAGTTGTTAAATAAAGAAAAATGAAATTTTATATTTTTAAACAAATCATATATCTATAAAACAAATATGTAAAATAAAGATCATTGATGGTATAATCATATGTTAGTATAATCATGAACAATAGGGAACATATAAAACTAACTATATATTTTGCTTCATAATTTAAGCATGGTGTTGATGATTCATGGTGATGCAATTATAACAACTTTATCAAATTATTTTCATAAATCGAATTTTAGATTCCCATTTATAAGTTTAAATGGCCAAAATTATTTATGTGAATAGGATATTAGATTAATGGATTCATTTTGTGATACGAGAAATAAAAAAATAACACCCCAACTACTTGCCGTTTCTTACGTACAACCGACAATCGTAATCATCATTATTAGAAAATTAATATAATATATTCAATAATAAAAGAAAGAGAGAGAGAAAATTCAATTAAAAAATAGCATATTTATATATTAAGTTTGATATGATGCATAAGACTTGGATTCACGTGTGTTTGCAATCCCATGGATTCCATGAAAGGAAAATGGTCTCTATTTTATAATAACGTGTCTTTTGATGGTACCCTTAACTCTGCAAGAGAAATAAAAATCTGTTAAAAAAAGTGTTTGGTTAATGTAAAGAAATTAAATTTGACTGATTGAAGAGATGGGTACTCTTGCAGCTGAGGTTACCTTTTATGGCAAGAATTAGGATAGCTTCTCACTAGAACTAGTGGAAATTACTTTTTTTTAAGAGGAAATTCATTAAATTTTAATAGTGTCAAGGAGAATAACAGACTTAATACATTTAAGTTCGTCATAATAATAAATTCAGTATGGATTGGGTCTCAACATGACCCATTTGGTTCGTCTCGCGGTTGACATAAAAGACTTTGAAATCACAATTCCTCTCCAACAAGCTACGAGCCTCGTTGAGCAACAATCTGATGGTTGAAACATCATCTCTTGGTTTAAGGCTTTTATGGTATCAGTACCATGGTATTGGTATCGATATTGGAAGGTGAATATCAATACTCCTTCAAATAGTATCAATATTGAGGCTTCAACGGCTATAATTTTGAATGCTTTTCATCCTACGTCTCGATAACTGCTTTTCGATATCGATACCAAAGTTGCATGTGAGCATTTAATGCTTAAAATTAAGGGTTCTAACGGCTCCAAAACATCTCCAACGGTTAGAAATGACTACAAACTCATTACATCATATAAAAACAAGTTGAGGAAACTTAAAGAAGTTACAACATCCATCCAAGCAATCCACATCAAGAGAAAAGCTCTTTCAATTTTTTACCTTTTCTCTTGTACATAGAGTGTTTTTGTGAGCTTAATTTGTAAATACCTACCTTTTGGAGGTTTTAATGTTTACGTTTCTTTATCCTTTTCTGAAAAAAGTTTTGGTTCTATCTTAGCCATTGTAAAAGATAGGGAATTTGTAAAGGTTATTCTTGAGCCTAGAAAAAGAAAGAACAAATTAGTGAATTTGATAAAAAAATCATTAGCGAGTAGCTAAGGTAGTAGATGTAGACTTCATTGAGAAAGTTGAACCACTATAAATCATTGAGCCAATTTTCCTATCGTTTCTCCTTTATTCCCAAAATTTAAAAAAGTCAATTCACCACCTCTTAGAAACAATTTTAGTTGATTTCTTTGAGCTTCAAATCTTAACAATTTTAGCATTAGTGGAAATTAGAATCAAGAAAATAGTATTCTATTTAAACGATTTACAGTTCATACATTTGTAATTATTCGTATTAATTAGAATTTTATTTTTTATAATACATATTTTATGTTTTATAACTATATTTTACAAGTTGAACAAGTCTATTCACATAAGTGATTTAAAGAAATATTATTTTTTTAGAAGTTTTGAGTTCAAATAATTGCGTCCATAGAGTGTGCTATCAATAATTAAAAAATATTATGAACATATACTACCTTATAATCACCCAGACTATTAGAAAATATTTTATATGAATATGTTAATTGTCATTTTAGTTTCTATTCTTTTTTAGAACATTTTAGTTTTTAACGTTTTAGTTTTTGATCAAAATAACTCATATTAAATACAAATTATTAATTAACTAACAATCTATACATATTACGATTTTCACGTTAGGTCAATTGCTATATATTATATACATTTACCATATATACATATGGTACATGGTCCCAATAAACAATAAGTTTATTATATAAGTCAATTTTTAACAATTAATTAGTTTTAATATTTTTCAAATATATATTTTATTCAATATTTTTTAAATCATGCATGCTTTATAAATATTAAGATATATTTTTATATTCATAGCCGCCATACTTCTAGGACACTTTTACTTTGATCATCAAAATAGAAACAATCATTAAAATCAACGTTGTTAATTTTTTGATCACTAAATCATTAAATTATTAACCACAACTAACGTAATACACCTGGAAAACAACATGGCTTCAAGGCTGATCAAACGTGGAACTTACAGAGGAGATTGAAGTGCCTAATCATTGGCTTAGACAAAGAATTTGGTATATTTAACAAAATATAATATTTCGATTATTTTTTTAAACAATTTCGGAGAAGAAAATTTTTGGTTCTAATGAGTATTAAACTAAGTACTGATAACTTAGGGGAGAATGGCAGTTCATTGAAATGCCCTTTTACGTATGCATAAATTTTGTCAATTAGTTGAAGAAAGCAGTCCTATTAACATCAAATCCCTGTCACTGCTCTTCACTTTTATACTGCTACTACTTTAATTGTTACTGATGTTGATCGCAAAGGTTAATTTCTTCAGATAATTTATGGCTGCTCATCAAATTGAAAAGAATGGGTTAGATTTTGTTGTTCAGAGAATTGATTATTTAAATACCTCATCTACCCTTATTTCATCTCATTCCTCTTTTTCCTACATAACCCTATATTTAAGGTCAACTTGTCCTCTATTTTTACTAAATCTGTTGCTACAAGACACTTTTATTGTTTCAAGTTTCCTTTGTTTTCAGGATTGATTAGGGACATTGGTGGTGGTGGATTATGTGTATATTACGGCAGATAAATTTCAATTATAGAATTTGAATTTCTTTTAATTAGTTTTCATTTTGTTGATAATATCAATTTTAAAATTTATTTGTACACATCATTATAGGAAAAAAATTATGTTATTAATATATGTATTTACCGTTAATATTTTTGAATCTATCTCTGATTAAGTAGATGAATACATATTCTATTTAAAAAACTAGTTCTTGAGTATGGATAAATAGAAATATTTTATGTAAAAAATATATTTGAAAATTATTTTATTTAAATATTATTATATAAATTATTAGAAGATAAAAAATAATATTTTAGTGATATCTGTTATCAATTAAAATAAAAATATTTTAATCATTTTTATTAATCTAGTGTGATTACAAGTGGTAGTATTTGTTCAAGAAACTCTGAAATATTAAACAATAAACGCTCAAATACCATGCAGTCGTTGATGCTTGAACCTATGACCTCTAAGAATAACAATCATTTCTTTAACTACTGAGGTCAGACCCGTCCCAAATAATGTGGAGGTCCTATGCTACTTTTAAAATAAAACCCCTAAAATATTTAATAATAAACATTAATTTGTCAAATTTAAAATTATGAGAGATCTATGAGGTTTATTTTACTAAAATTTATCATGAATCAACTTTCTATACCATTTTCTCTAGAATCAAATGAAAAGTCTATTTCTCATTCAAACATAAATATCATTAGGGCATAAATATTATACATGAACATGCGTAAATAACATTTATATGTGGCATCCTTAAATTAATTTTGAAGTCCTATGAGAAATCATATTTTACACTTATCATTAGACGAACCTAAACGAGATAACTTACTTCGTATATATTATACTATTTTTTTTAATTTAATCCGCGTTGATATAATATAGATTAAGAATTGCGTGAGAAATAAAAAGACTTCCATAGACTAGAGTGTTAACTACATTTTTGTTGAAGGATTTAATGCCCGGCAGATTTATTTTTTAATTAATAATAAAATATGATCATATACGAAAATAATTAAAAACATAATAAGATGATTCGAGAAGATGATACAATCAAATACTATTATCAACAGTAAAAGATAAACGCTGCGAGTACTAATGTAAAATACATATAATAATGGCGACGCATTAATAAAATAATTTAATTTTAATTCAATCATGATCTATCTTTAATAATTACAAGTGTTTATCTATTTTGAGACGGTACAAAAGTTCAAAACAAAAGTAAATCCATAAAATTAACAACTAAACATCAACCAGAGAAATAAAATTAAATCTAATGAATTCAATCAATTTTTTGTTTATAAATTCTGAATCTACTCTCAATCCTACTTAGAAGGTAGGGAAAGGAGACTTTAGAATAAATAAAGAAAATGCTCCTAATGAATTTAAAACTCTTAATCTAAAAAATACTAGAAAATAAAGATAAATAACTTAACTAAGTAGATATACTTACTCAACTCAATATAAAATTTAAATTTCATTTCTATAACTACTTTTTATATTTCAAATTAGGACTCATTTGTAAATAAAAATAAATAAATAAAGTAGGCCATACACAGTTGTGAGCACCATATTCAAATTATCACATTCATGCATTTGATTGATGACCCCACAGTTTTTGTTTTGTTTCAAATATCAAACTATTCACTTTTTTTGGTAGGTTTGAAGTTTTTATCTGCATATTTCAAACTCACAGAAAAAATAGGTTTTCTTTATTTTTTAAACATGCATTTAATTTTAAAATAATATAAATATATCTTTTCATAATAATAATAATAATAATAATAATACTCATAGTATTTATTTCAATTGGTATTTATTTAAAAAAAATTGAAGCATTAAAGTAGGTGTTATGGTGGTGGTTGGTTGTGATCCTTAGCAATTTAATTGTTTTATCTTCAAACTCTGGCATCCAACCACACACACAAAAACCCTACAAAATTATGAAAATAAATAATTAAAACAAATAAAAGACAAGTAGATATTTAATGTTGAACTTAGGAGTAGGACCCTCCACCCTCTATCTTCATCAGCATGAGAAATATTCATCTTTTTTTTCAAAAAAAAAAATAAAAATAAAATAATAATAATAACTTTCTTTTCTTAATTAGGTTTTCGTGTGGAAGGAGACGTTTCCTCGTTTTTCAGTTGTTTGTGATCTTCTGACAGAATTTTTTTATTTTTAAATTTCTAAACTTTACAGAATATATAAATCTTCCCTTCTCATCTGTTACATAATATATAAATCTTTTGAAAAGTTGGTTTCAATGGTTGATCAGATGCATCAAATCATACGAGTTCTCTTGTTATATATATATAATAAACATCTTTAAATGAATAAAAATAATCAAATGAGATTAATAATAAAAAATAAAAATTTAATGTTAATATTTTTTTACTCGTTTAAATGTCTTATACGTGTATAAAATTTAGAAAAATTATATATTGTATATATATATATAATTGATTGCAGGGTATAAGCAAAAGAGAATGATTGAAAGGAGAAGGGTTCCTCATCTACACGGGTAACAGCCTTTCTTATATAATGCATTTGATTTTACTGTTTTTAAATATGTAAAAAATTGTTTTTACTGTGTTAATTATTGGTGGTTTTCTTCCATTTTTAACAATTTTAAAAAATATTAATCTTATTACATATGTAAAATCATGAAAATATAGAAGCTTTTCATCAAATATTTAATATTAACATTTATGAAAAAATACAGGGGGGAAAATCATTGAATAGAATTTACCAACCCTAATCATATACATATGTCTTCCTAGTGTTATTGTTTTACCCTGAGAAAATAAGAAGGAAGGAAAATTGGCATAAATCAGTGGATACTGAAGTGAACAAAGAAGGGTATCTTTTTTTTGAAATCTCATCTTTTTCTCTCTTTCTTTTTGCCATTTCAGTGGAGAAGTTGCAGAAGAATTTCTGTCTCTCTCTCTCTGGATATTGTGAAGCTGGGAATTCAATAAAAAAGTCCATAAATTCCATAGTTAGATCATATTCGGAGTCTCTTTCTCACAAATTATGGTGTTTTAGCTACAATTACATATAAGCTTTTCTTTCTCAGCTTTTTCTTTTGTAAGCTTCAAAAATTCTCCTTTTCTCTTTATTTCTTTTGCAGTGAAGAAGATCATGAAGCACGTGCACACTAACACTAGGTAACAATCTATATATAAACGCCATAGCTTTCTTCCCTTCCTTTTCTGCAATTCCCATGGCGGCTTCAAGCTCTAGATCGTACTAGAAACACGCAACGACAACTAAACATGTCTTGTTTTTCAAACCTTCAACAAATCACAATTATTTGGGTTTGAAATTTGTTTAATTTGTGGGGTCATCATCACTCTTTTCTTTTCTTTTTACAGGATCCACTTGATCATCCTGAGAACATAAATATATCCGTCCGTTTAATTTGTCCCTGTTTTTGCTGCAATTCATGAAGCAAGCGAGCTCTCAAATGGGTTGATTCAAAGTCTCCTGATTCATCCAAAAGAATAAGGTTTTAATTTATGCCGTGTTTATGTTTTGATCGATATTGTAAATGGATTTTAGTTTTATCTTCCTTTTTTAATATTTTCTTTTCAGTGAAGTGAAAGCACAGAAAATAACATGAGATTTTCTTTTGCAAGACACAACATCCGATGGCGACGTACTGTCATGGGAACCCTGAAATCCAAGCAGCTGACGGTCTCCAAACACTCGTACTCATGAACCCTGCCTATGTTCAGTACTCCGATAACCCTCCGCCGCCTCCAAACAACCTCGTTTACCTCAACTCGAACTCCATCTCCCCTCACGCGCCATCTCCCCACACACAACAATTCGTCGGCATCCCCCTCCCCGCGGCTACTTCCGCCGCCAACCAAGGCTATGGTTCCCACGAAATCTCCCCCTTGCATGGCCTCGTTCAGCGCGTCCATTACAACTTGTACAACCCTATTGACCTTTCCGGACCAGCGCGTGAAACTCCACGCGCTCAGCAGGGACTTTCCTTGAGTCTCTCTTCCCAACAACATCCCAGTTATGGATCACAAGTTCAAGCGGGTTCAGGTGAGGACATGAGGGTTTCGGGTGGATCGGGTTCGTCCGGTTCAGGAGTGATTAACGGAGTTTCGGGTGTACAAAGTGTGCTGTTGAGCTCTAAATTCTTGAAGGCTGCTCAAGAGCTTCTCGATGAGGTTGTTACTGTTAACAATACCGAGATTACCAAGAACGAATTGGCTAAAAAGGGTAGTGGAGATAATAGCAATAGCAGTAAGGCGATTGGAGAATCGTCGGTGGCGGCGGCAGGAGATGGCTCTGGTGGCGGAGAGACAGATTCTAAGCACGGCGCCGAACTGACTACGGCAGAGAGACAGGAGATTCAGATGAAGAAAGCGAAACTAGTTAGCATGCTTGACGAGGTATGAAAATTATATATATATATGATTTGATCTTTTGAAAGTGAAGTGTATGAGAAATATATTTGTTTCCTTGGGAAAGTTATGCTTTCCAGGGAAAATTGAGTATTTTAGTTGAGTCATTATCAATTCAGATAATAGTAATGCAGATAATCATTGAAAACACTAGATAAAAGTTGCTTTCACTGAATCAAAGATTTGAAATTTCAATAAATTTGATTCTTAAATCGTAACTCAATCAAATCTAGTTACCAAGATTGAATTCCAGCGTTGTTTGATCATGAACTTCGTTTTTGCAGGTGGATCAAAGGTACAGACAGTACCATCACCAGATGCAGTTTGTTATTTCATCATTTGAGCAAGCAGCTGGGATTGGCTCTGCTAAAACATACACATCTCTTGCATTAAAGACCATCTCAAAGCAATTTCGGTGCTTGAAAGATGCAATAACCGGCCAAATCCGAGCTGCAAACAAGAGCTTAGGTGAAGAAGATTGCCTAGGAGGCAAAATTGAAGGGTCGTCGAGACTTAAGTTTGTCGATCATCATCTCCGACAACAACGAGCACTTCAGCAGTTGGGAATGATCCAGCACAATGCTTGGAGACCCCAAAGAGGGCTACCCGAAAAATCAGTCTCGGTTCTTCGAGCTTGGCTCTTCGAACACTTTCTTCATCCGTGAGTAAACTTAAAGTTCCCTTCCCTTGTAATTTTCCAACAGTTAAATTTATTGTGTATACTGATATCTCTATTTGCATTGCAGATACCCTAAAGATTCAGACAAGATCATGCTTGCAAAACAAACAGGGCTAACTAGAAGCCAGGTACTAATTTCCCATTTTTTGTAAATAGGCCAAACTCTGTTTGATTAAATTTTAATTGTTATTTTTGTAATAATTTTAGGTGTCTAATTGGTTCATAAATGCTCGAGTTCGGCTTTGGAAGCCAATGGTGGAAGAGATGTACATGGAGGAAATCAAGGAACAAGAACAAAATGGATCAGCTGAGAAAAAAAGCAAGAGCCATAACAATGAAGATTCAACATCCAAATCCACTGCACCAGACAACAAGGCCAAAGTTTCAGTTCCAACCAGGACAATATCCCTAACCAGAATGGTTCCTCAATGTCCATTTCCATGGCATCAACATCTCCCCTTGCCGGCAACCATTCGGGATTCTCCTTCATCGGATCGTCCGAATTGGAAGGGATCACTCAAGGAAATCCAAAAAGGCCAAGAAGCACCGAAATATTGCAGTCCCCAATGGATATCAAGCAAACAACCGAGGCCAACAATGAGGTTACCATGAAGTTTGGCAAAGATGGGTACACATTTATGGGAACCAACACGGATATCATGGGAAGTTTTGGTCAATACCCCATCATGGAAATCGGAAGGTTTGATGCAGAACAGTTCGCTCCGAGATTTTCAGGCAATGGCGTGTCATTAACTTTGGGACTTCCCCACTGTGAAAACCTGTCTTTATCAGGCACCCATCAGAGTTTTCTTCCGGACCAAGCGATGCAAATGGGGCTAAGGCTCGACATTGGAGAACCCGATGAGTTCGGGTCTATTGACCCTTCCACACCGCACTCTTCGGCTGCTGCATATGACAACATCGACTTTCAAAATAGGAAAAGGCTCGCATCACAATTGTTACCGGACTTTGTTGCCTGATCAACATGAAGATTTCGGATTCAAGAAACTTGCTGGGAAAGATATCAGGTATTTTCCAGGAAAATGAACGGTAGTGTAAAGGAAGACAATTCCATCCATAGTATAGGTCTATATACTTTCCATAGTTCAATTTGAGTCCCTGGGCAGTTTAGGATCTCAGAAATATTCGAGGATTGTATATTAATTTTGTAAGTTTTGGGGGATTGGGTAGATGGTGATTGATATTATAAAATTAGTCACTTGGGTATACTGGTATAATCAAATTTCTAGTCAATTTGGGTATGTATTTTGTAGCAATTCAGGACAGAATTTACTAGTTTAGTTCTTTTCTGATGTTAAACAGTTGCTAAAACCATAAATAAGATGGGGTTACGATTTTATTTTGGGTAATTACTAGTTTCTTGCTTTCTTTCCTTCTTTTTAATTATGAAAAGGAATTTTGCACTATGCTTTTCGAAAACATGATTGTTAACTTCCAGATTTCAAGTGACTAATATGTCAAAGGAAAATACTTTATACCACTTAAAATTGGGTATTTAAACATGTTTTAATTAAAATTCAACAAATATATTTCAAATAATTAAACATTATTTGTTAATGTATGATAGGGGACATTTCAGATCGTATAGAATCTTGTAATGGAAAGTATACAAGCATTAGCGTATGTTACTTTGGTAATAGTACTCTATGAACTCGTAACAATAATAATCATAAAATTCAAGATTGTATCATCACTAAGATAACACACACACATTTTAATATTTTGAGTTCATGAATTACGTACGGTGCATGAATCTTTTCTCTATTGACAATCGAACTAGATTTAGTACAACCAACTTTAGTTTGATTAGAATATTAAAGAGCCTCTTATTCAAATAATAATAATAAAGAACCTACCCTAGTTATTGGCAAACCATCATTTGAATCTATTCAATATTCATTTAATTTCCTTCAAGTTAAAATCGAAAAATACATATTAAAATCGAATAAATAAATAAATAATATTTTTCAAGTCAATAAATCAAAATCAAAGTAAATGATCAATGATCGAAATCAATAGCCAACTATTAATAATCAATTATCAATAATCACAAAAAAAATAACGAGATTAACGAGTCAAATACTGATTCAGTTCAAATTACTGAGGTTGGGTTATAGGTCAAGCAATTTGTGTCAAATTATTTGTAAAGGGCCAAGTACGAGTCACGAATCAGGTTAATTCAAGTTAAACAATCGAAGAATGGTTCGAGTTCGATGCGAGCATCAGGTCAGGGTAAAGGTAGAGCTAAGGGTGAGTTCAAATCAAGTATGGGCTCATACAAATCGGGTTCAGGTCCAAAAGCATCGGGCTTTGATAGGGGTTTTAGAGGCAGTAGGCCTGGGTCTGGCAATAAACATCAACGCAAATAGATGTAAGCTAGGGTAAATCATATTAGGTGTTAGGCCTTGATTGATTGTAAGCTTGTGGTATATTGGAAAAAGGTAAGTTACACGCTTACTCACTCAACTTTATTATCTTTTATTTCACTTATCATACTTTTAATTTTTTTAATTTGCTCACTAAACTTTAGACATTTATTTATTTTTAATCATTCTAAGATAATATGGATTATTTATTATTTTTCTCATATGACGTGTCATTTTATCACTATTTTTAATGCCAAATATGATTAAAATAAATTTAAAAATTACAATTATACCTTTAAATTATACCTAATTCTCAAATTATATCTCAAACTTTAAACCTCAATTACAACTCCACCCACCTCTTCCCCTCACTCTTTTGTCCATCTCTCACAACCCTCAACCAAGCCAATCAACACAAACATGGCATCAACTATATCCAAACCCCAAAAATAACAAATGATAGCAACAAACGAAGGGGAAGAAGAGATTACTTGGAATTAATCAACGATTAAATACCATAAATTTAAAAAAACAAGGAATTAACCATTTCACCATTTAGCAAAGAAATCAAAAAAGGGAAAATAGAAAATTTTACCTTCAGGTTTTCAAAAGAGACGACTCTGGCGATTGAACGATAGATCCGAACTGTGAGAAGTGACGGAGGGATCACCATATCCATTTAAGCTCCATCCAACGGCTGTCAATGGAGATCAGAGAGTAAAAATCGAATGATTTTAGTACAGGTTCGTTAACATTATGAAGGGTGGATTCGTGTTTAGGAGGTAAAAAATGTTTGGGCTAGAAAGTTTGGAGCCCAACGGCCACTGGAGACACCATGGTAGCCACCGCGATCGTAGCCACCGATGGCTCAACCCAGTGTTGTTGTTGAAACAGTGAGAAGTGAGGTGAAAAGTTTAGTTTTAACGTTTACGTGTATATTTTAATATTTTTAAATTTATTTTTTATTATAATCCTAAATAATATTAAAATATTAATAAAAATATGACATGTCATATGGAAAAAATAAAATAATCTATATCATCAATGAGTGATAAAAAAAAGTTCAATGTCTAAAGTTCAGTGGACAAATTGAAAAAATTGAAGGTACGATGAAAGAAATAGGAGTGATAGTAAAGTTCAGTGAGTAAACGTCTAATTTACCCATTGAAAAAAATACATAGTTTTAATTTTGATCGACATTAATCATTAAATCTAGAATATTGTTTTGGTACCAAAAAAATTAGATCAAGGGTGACCTTCTCAGTCCAAGATCAGGGTATACGTAAGACTCAATTGGGATTTATATAGAAATTTAGAGATTGTCTACCAAGAGTGACGGTGGTAGTCTAGTAGAATATGAACTTAACCTTACATGTTCAAATTCATGAATTCTAACTATTTGTACCAACACTCGTTGACATTAAACTTAGAATTTTATCTTTAGTAAGCTCACCCCTTTCTCCTTATTAAAAGACGATAGATATTATAATGATACTTTTATCTTTTTCACAACTTTATATAATTTTTATTTAGGTGTCGAAATTTTTTCCAGTTAATCTAGGTGTCGAACGTTTCCAACGTTATTTTTAAGTGTCTCAACCATAACGGACGTTAAATTTTACTGCTAAGTGACACATGTCATTCTCATATAATTTTATAACAATTTTTAAATTTATAAAGAAGACATGTGTCATTTAACGATAGAATTTAATAGAAGTAACGATTCATGCACCTAAAAGTGTAATATTAAAAACGTTAAACACTTAAACTGATCGAGAATAATTTATATATCTAAATGAAAAAATATATATAATTTGAAAACTTATTTTTATAATAATTTAATATTTAGAAAAAATAATTAAAAACCACTATTTCGATGATCAAATAGAATATCATATAATTTTATCTTTCCATAACTTCATATAACATTTTAATAGATGTACCAAAAAAATATAATATTTTAATAAAATAATCAAATACCACTATTTCAATGATTAAATACATAATCATTAAGTCTATATACAAATCTTTTACCATTTCACATATAATCATTTACTGAAATAATTTTTATAAATATATACTCATTATTAAACCATGATTGAGTTGGTCATGGGTTAACCAATACCAATATAGTTGAAAAATGATTAAAAAAATCATATTTATATAATAATACACATTTTTATAACGATACTTTTTTTTATGTTTTTATATAATTTATCTAAAATTGAAAACTACAATTTAATGGTTAAAATACAAAACAATTTAATTTATACATAAATTATTCATTGTTACATGTATAATCATTAGTTAAAATGTCTTATATAATATTATTTTAACACAAAATATTGTTAATTGAACAAAATGTAATATACATAGAGGAGATGGGAGGTGTGGAACTTAATTCAAACATAAGTTCTGACCTTCCAATCTTCAATTGTAATAGTTTGACGAAAACTATATTATCCTCATAATCCATCCTACGATAATAAATAAATAATCACGTTATTATTATTTTTTCTTATAAAAATAATTAACTTAAAATTCAAAGTAGAAACACACTTAATAGTTAGAGTTTGCCCTATTTTTTAAATCTTTTGTTGTTAGTTTTTTTATTTATCTTTGTGATTGACGATAATACCGATTTTGACGCTGATCACCTACAATTGATATTCATTATTTTTTCGTTATTATAGCATTTTTTATTTTTTATTTTTAATAATTATGTCTTTATAACACGTATTCTCTTGCCATTATGACATATTTTTTTTGTTTTTATGACACATTTTCGGTCGTTTGGTCGTTATTTTCATTTTTTTTTCAGGGTTAGATTTAACATTCACACGATGCTTATTTGCTATCATGCCGATATTCCTTTCTTTTTAACTCTCGAATTGGATTTGAATACGCAATTTGCGTTCGCAGATAGTATTTTCAAGTCCCTTGATTCTGATTTACGATTTGTCGGTGATATTTCAATAGCTTAATCCTTTTTTGTGGTTCGTTTATTGATACAATCAAAATCTCTTCATGTCTGCATTTTGTTAGAGTTTATTTGGTTAAGTTTCTTAACATTTTCCTTGTACGGGTCCTTGTGTAATCTCAAATGTCTAGTTTTCTTGCGTTTAGGAAAATGTCCTCATTATGTGTTTAATCTACAATTCTGATTGTATATCTTCATTGTAATTTAAAATTTTAATAAATTAGTGGTTATGTAAAAAAAACTTAAAAATTCAAAGGATATGGTTTAATATTAATTAAAATAGTTAAACTAAGAAAACCTGTAGATGCAATTACAAAAAATGATGGAATCCAGCGTAGCTTTTTGTCTCACTTGACTTGATCATCAATGGATGACTACTGGAGTAGAAATAGGGGAAACACGTGTTTGGAATGAGAAACTCTGAAGAAAGAAATCCAATAGATTTTGAAAACAAAGGAGCGGCAGTCAAAGGATGTTTTGATTGTATACATTCAGTTGTAATAATTAGACTTATAGTTAGGATGTCTTAGGTACGGTAATATTAATATACGGTTAATGAAATAGGTTATTAGAAATATTCAACCTAAACTTCAAACTCTTTCCAACAAAACCAAGACTTTTCATCTCCGCGTTGTTGCAGAAATCTGGGTTTCTCTTCAGTGTATATATATTACATGGATGAAATCGACATTCCCCATTTTTATCTGCCCCATTTCTCTCGAGTTATGAAGGATCCTGTCACGGTTTCAACAAGGATCTCTTATGATCGAAAGAGCATCGAGAAATGGGTGTTTTCAGGGAAGAACAACACTACATGTCCGGTTACAAAGCAAGTTATTTCTGATTGTGAGCTTACCCCAAATCATACCCTCAAAAGATTGATTTAGTCACGGTGCTTGTTAAATACTTCCCATGGAATCGAAAGATCCCAACCCCAAAGCCTCCCATCAGTAAACCCCAGATTATCAAGCTTCTCGATGATGCCAATGTT